GGGGGGGGTGGGGGTGATGAAACGTGGTGCAAGATAACCTCTGCACCTTTTATAACTTGCACTGTGACATCCAGATGCACATTTCATCCTTTTGATAAACACTCAGTTTGCTATAGTTGCTCCTGCAGTATTCCATTTTAAGGATGATTTTGATATTTTCAGCCTTTAAAACGTTTAAAGTATCAACATTTCCCTTATATTTCCCATTACTTATGGGCCTTCAAGTCAGTCTTGACTCCTGGCAACTGACTGGACCAGCCCCTGCAGTTTTCTTGGCAAGATTTGCCAAAGTGGGTTGCCCTGGCCTTCTTTTACGGCTGAGGGAGAGGGACTGGCATAAAGGCACCCAGCTGGCTTGGCGCCCAAGGCAGGACTAGAACTCCTGGTTTCCTGGTTTCTAGCCTGGTGCCTTAAACCACTATATCAAAACGGCTCTCAACGTTTCCTTTAATCCCCACAAAAAATCTCGGAAAATGAAAAATCTGGAAAATCATGGCCAAATCATCTGCTCCAATCAACTGCAGCTTCTCTATACTAATCTAGGAAAACAAAGTTATATAAATAAACTGCACAACTGCTCTAGCAAGTTGTTTATTGGATAAATGTGTACAACAACTCAGAGATACCTTCAGAAGGGTGCTGTACATGACAATCTTCCCAATCTGGGATGTACAGTGTTTTCCTCAATTTCAGACAACCCTGAATCAAGTCATGGTGAATATTTGCATTGATGGTTGGTGTGGCTTCAAGGTGACATATTGTTTCAGCTGATGCCCTGGAAATACAGCTCGAACATATATGCTAATCTAAAGCATTGCCTATCTACCGATACATTAAATAATAAGAAGCATTTGCCTCTGAGACTTCTGGCATTTCTATATGGGTGTTTGATGTCTGCAATTGCTGACAGCTCTGCCTGAATCTATGATACGAGAGAGCTTTCAGTGAGTTGGTATGGATGATATTTTCCATCTGAGATGTACAGCAGCTCGTGAGCCAGCCAAAATCAGCCCCACAAACTGTGCCCTCAAAGTCATGCCACTGACAGATTTCCTAATCAATTTTTACCACTGCCCATTTAAAAGCCATTTGAGAAGCAACCTCGCTTCTCTCTTACTGATATTCATTCCCCATTTTCTATAAAAGCTTTACAGCATTTTATACCCATTAAGCATTACTAGACTAGCAGGTTCCAGCTCGTGCAATTGGTCCTGCTCGGGCACTAGATGGAGGTCGGGCAACAAAAGGCCACTTTATTCCTCTCATACTAATAAGGCATACAAATAATCTACTTTCAAGGAGGGGCAGTATTAGCAAATGGCCATGAAGGTTTAGAAAAGCTGTAGTAGAGCATTGCTCAAGGATGGAAGACGTTGTTGTTGCTGTTTTCTGCTCTCTATATCCATCAAAGGTACGTATAATTTAAAATGAACCAAAACCTTATGGAAACTACTTGGAAAGACATTACAAATAAGTATGAATCAGGGAGGGATGGTAATCAGTAGCTTTTAGCTGTTAATATACAACTCCAGTAATTTCTAATGGAGATGAGGCTGATATCTAGAAGAACTCCCAGCCCTGAACCAGACAAGATGGAACTGACTTAGCTCTTATCTAAGTGAGATGATACTTTCGGGTCCAGAAATGATACAAACCAACTTTTTGCCCAGCAGAAAGATGGAAATGGACCATTATTCCTGGTCTGCCAGCAGAAGTGACACACATAGCAGGAGACTAGGAGAAGGTGGACTTTTGGTCCAATCTGGCAGGCTCTTCTGATGTACATATTGGCTCCTGAGCTTGGGACATGGAGTAATTTGGCAAGTCTGTGGTAGGTAGGCCCAACTTAAGAATATGAGGCCAAAGATGCCTTTAGGCAATCTAGGGGAGGGGAAGAGGATGCATCTTCTAGCCACGTGCTTAATCCTTTCCGAGATGGAAATCCTTCGGCCATCTCAAAGACTTCTAGGAAGCCACATAGCCTCATAGCTGCCCCAAAGGAAGCATTCTACTGGGAAAATGTCTTTTAGCCTTCATCCCAGGAAAAAAGAGATCCATGTGAAAGGCAAGCACTGGAATATCTGAAGCAAACTTCTCTGCCTATAGCAGAAACTTCTGCCATCTTATCAAACCGTGAAGTCTGGCCCAAAATATTCTGCTGCTTGAGACAGAGCAGCAAAGTTATGAACCACAGTACTCAGGGCTGATCATGTTATTTCCGTTCCTGTGTAGGCAGTTCATTAAAAACCACACTAAATTGTTTAAAGGCTAGCAAGATACTTGGCTTCAAGGAATGGGCTCATGGAGAATTGACTGGAAATGTTTCCTTTGCATTCTTAAAATTGCTGAATGGCAGTTATGAAGAGCCCATTTATTTTTCATGGACTATGCAGCTTGTTCTCAAAAACAGCAGGACATTCTGAGGAGTCAACCTCATGTCCCTCTAGCCCAGTGTTGTCCAAACTTGGCCACTTTAAGATGAGTGGACTTCAACTCCCAGAATTCCCAAGCCAGCCATGCTGGCTGGGGAACACACCTTGCTTTTTTATAAGCCAGGTGCTCATGACATTGGCTTTATCTCCCTTTCAGCCTACAGCAGAGGCAGCTTAAAATCATCTGTTCCATTTTTAAAGTTGTTTCCTCTCTTTTCCAGACACAGACTTATGGCGTTACAGTTG